CCCCAAAACCCCAAAACCCCAAAACCCCAAAACCCCTAAAGGGGATTTCTAATTTTTGATTAGGGAATACAAAACTTAATTCTATTTAATATAAAGCTAACTGTTTATTAGTATGGATGTAAGGAGAAATTAAGAGATTAGAGCATTTTTATATCTTCTGAAGCATTTAGAAGGAATTAGAGTTTTAACTGATTTTTCTAGCCACAATATATGGACCCTGGGATGATGGGTGTGATGATGCCCTAGGCTTAAATGGTCATGAATCATACCAATCAGCTCAACAACCTGTATAAGACACAGCTCTGCAAACACTTTCAGCAAACTAAGCAATGCCATGTGGGTAAGAGATGCCACTTTGCTCACGGAGAACATGAACTTCGAAAAAGGGAGGAGGTAAGTTTGGTTTGCCTTTAGATGTCATGTCTTGAATTGACATAATTGGGTATATGTTAAAGAACAGCTTGCCTATAATATGCCAATTTATACAAATTACTAACATGACATATAGCCCTTACCTCTAGAAGTGACTATGAGAATGATGAACATCCCTTACAATAATTTTAAGACATAGACATGCAAAAACTATGAAAAGGAAGGCAAATGCAAGTTTGGTGACAAGTGCTCATATGCTCATGGTAACACAGACTTGAGAAATCCATATGAAAACATTCTTTTGCAAGGTGGAAGCAGTCCAAGGACTACTCCTATTGCACAACAAAATCCTTAAGGCTAAATAAGTAATCAGATTCCATTGCAAACTCCACAATAAATTGCAGTACAACCCCCAATCCAGTAGGTAATATCCTAAAGTTTTAATGGCTTTAAACTTCAACCAAGTCATTCATTGCCAAAAATCAATCATCAAGAGAATCCAAATATGTATCCAACAAATCAAACTCCTAATTTATAAAATTTTGGCCCCTAATTTAGTTAGAGACAAATGTAACAATACACAAGAAGGGTTTCAGAAAATAATCTTTATTTATAAAGTAGCTAAGGCTTAGGAAGACCTTAAATTCTCTATAATCATATGGGTATGATGCAAACTACTAACCCCTAGAACATCTATCATAATTAGTAGTAATATTTGCCCATGCACCAAGCCTAGTAAATTCAAAACAACTATTATTAAGATGCCTAACCATAATCTTTCTCACCTCCTAAATAGTAATACTTGCTTAATTAAAACTTTGTTGATGATTTTTCCCCGCTTGAGCCCCTCAGAAATAAATCTTTGTCATACGATAATTCTCTTTCATGGAGTGGTTTTCCATCATCTGCAGGAACTAATAACAGTAATGGATTCAACTATATGCTAATCAACCCTTCATTATACGACACTAATGAGGAGAGAGCTGAATAGCAAGCTGCTGTTAATTTGTCCTTCTAATGTTAGTGAAGCATGATGGATCGATATTGCCATATGCTCATTAAAATTAACCTCTCCTCACTTAATTTAATATCTAAGACCTTAAGATCAACTTTCTTCTGCTAAGAATTATATCAAGGTAGGATTGAAGGTGGTCAACTATGGAGTACAAAATCTTTTGAATGTAATAATTAAAAGATACAGTCCTCTCCCTTAATTCATATTAAGTTATTTGAAACTCACTAAAACTTCTTCTAACTACCCTAATAGCCTTATAATATATAACAGCGTAGCCCTTTCTATATTTTAATTCGATTTCACGATTTTGAACATACTCTTGCTCAAGGGGTTTTGGGGTTTTGGGGTTTTGGGGTTTTGGGG